TAGAGGCATCTATCATTGTACAACCATTATCCATCCCAACCACAACCTTGCCAGCAGGAGTCAAAAACAACAAAATTTTAACTTCAGACCTAAAAATGACCAAAACTCTTCTTACCGGACACTGGTCAGGTCCTGGGTTAGTTTGTGTTGGAGTAGCTAGCCATTAACGTATCCCTTGGACTAGAGGCTGCAGGAGCAGGCTAGCAGAGCAGGCACCTGGGTTATTTTTACTGTTCAACTGAAGAGACAGGAGTCTTGCTGCCACAGAGATGAGTGTGGAATTTGGTGGAAGGCAGGATGATACATTAATAGTCTGTTTCAGAAAACTTCAATCTCCTCCCACACTCACACAGACTTGCTGCATTTCATGAGTGCAGTTTATGTTGATCATCATGTTTTGATAGTTTAATGTTCTTCCAAACTGAATCATGATGGACAATGTGCTTGATCAAGGTCATTTTGTAGTATTTTCTTAAATGTTTAAGAAAACTTCAATTACCTCCTGCACATGGTCAGAGTGCATTTCATGAAAACACTCAACATTTGTGTTAATCAAGCTGATTGGTGCTTAACAAAACTAAATATGATGGACTATGTTATTATCCAATGTCTTTCTGAGAAAACTTTGCATATTTTCTCCCCCTTCACTCCTTGTCAGACATGATGTTTAACACATTTCATACGGATGGATCAAAATATTTTGAAGGTCATATTTGATAACTAAATATGATTGTTTTCATCTGATCTCTCTATAACATATCCTCTTACTTAAGTCACCCACATATGGATGAATCTTCAAAAAAAAATACCAACACCTTGAGCATGCACTATTTGAGTGGATATGTGCGCTGTATAAAATATCCTATAATAATCTTAATACTGTGTAAACTATATGGGGTTTCCTTATATGGTAAATGTTTGTTTTAAATAATGTCTGTTTACCAGCAATTCCACTCATTTCCAAAATTAAACATATCAAAGAAGGTCAATATGTGAAGGAAAGTAATCATTTTACAGGTCATTAAAAATTTAATTTTTTTCATTTCATGTATTTTTATTTCACCTGACAAATACTACTTTTCAATGCTTTGACAATCAACCTTCATGTTTCAGGTAAAAAATGAATCCCATGACATTTTAGGCCCATAATTAAAGCCATTTTTAATAGTATTTAGTTATAGCTGGCATGTCCACTTGAAGTTAAGGAAGAAAGCCCTACGTGATGGAGGCCCAAGACATACATTTACCACTTCATGGTATACCACTGCACAAGCATGGCACTGATGCTGACAAGAAACATAACTATGTATAACTAGAGTGATTTGAGATTCTTAACATCAATCATAGGTTTCTGTTTTTAACTAAGGTAAGCAGAGATGCACCTTACAAAACTGGGCCTAGTAAAGCATTACTTTTCATTTCCAATGTCATGTATACAAAGTTGTATATGCTCTACAGATGCATCTGTGTGAATTACTTCAAACAGACCATACATTGCTCTATGCACCAGTCATAACACTTTAAAGATAGAATGAAAGTTCTTTTTCCAGTAACAGCTCGTATTACAGTGCTATTCTTGGAAGCATCCAGTCAATGATTATTTAGAAGAAATATAGCAATGGCCTGACTCTGCTGTCCATAGGTTGTGAGAGCAGCTTGGTTCTAATTAGAATGCTATTCAGGATTTACTCAGGAGATTGGTTACCGGAAATACTGATGTTAACTGTAAGTATTGTGAGATATAAACTGTGTGATTTACTTTTTTTTCTTTCTTAATATGAAAAGTTTGAGTAGGACCAGAGACCGATCTATTATATGGTCTCTGGTAGGACATAGTTGTGTCAGCATGAATAGTATATATTCTGTTTGGAGAAATATTTTCGATATTAGTTTGATTTAATTTTTTTCTTTCGGACAAAAGTTTGAGTCAGATATAGTTTTGTCAATACGATTACGATACAAGGAATATTTTGGTATTAACCTAAACAATAATTATGGACTGCCTTGTAATTCAGCTGGTTCAGGAAGGCCACATCAGATGTTTTGTTTTGAGTTGGGTTTTTAAATTAAGAGCCAACCATGAATTGAGAAAAATACAAAAGACTGCTGTGAAAAACCAAATACCAGAAGAAATGTTTGTTTGAAAATTAACCTCCAAATCAAACTGGTTTTAAAAAAAACAACTGTGAATTTAGAATCTCATTGGTTAGAGGGAATAATGGTTTATTATGATGATTGTTAATGATTTGGTCAAAATAAATGAAATTCATATTTAAAAAATTACCAATATGAGGGGTTTGTTATCTGAGTTCTAGATTTACCAGCAGTATATCACAACATAACATGTGTTAATTAGTTACACATTTTAAAATACACTGACAATAAATGAAACAATAAAAACAGAAAATATTACTAACATAATAGATTAATAATAATATAGTGTTAGCGACATTTCACAAATACTTTTCTGTTCATTAATGCCTTCATCCTGACATCAGAATGACTGACACTAACAATATTACCTACCTGTGTAGAGGATAAATATCCTTAAATTCATACCGCATTTGGTTACTGAATGAATGTTGTTTTACACCACAGTCATCAATATTCCTACAATATCACACTGAGCAGCCACTAAAATTATCAAGTCTGGGCTGTACACACCAGTCGTAAACAGCATGAACAAGCTACCCACACCATGAGGACACAACAGACAACCATGGGTTCATGTGTCATTGTGCCCCAGTACCAACACATCGTTGTGAGTCATTGTTCCCCAGTACCAACACATGGTTGTGTGTCATTGTTCCCAAGTACCAACATATTGTTGTGTGTCATTGTGCCCCAATACCAACACATGGTTGTGTGTCATTCTGCTCCAGTGCCAACACTTGGTCATGTGTCATTGTTCCCCAGTACCAACACATGGTTGTGTGTCATTGTTCCCCAGTACCAACACATGTCTGTGTGTCATTGTGCTCCAGTGCCAACACATGGTTGTGTGTCATTGTGACCCATACCAACACATGGCTGTGTGTCATTGTGCTCCAGTGCCAACACTTGGTTGGGTCATTGTGCCCCAGTGCCAACACATGGTCGTGTGTCATTGTTCCCCAGTGCCAACACATGGTCGTGTGTAATTGTGCTCCAGTGCCAACACTTGGTTGTGTCATTGTACCCCAGTACCAACACATGGTCGTTTGTGTCATTGTTCCCAAGTACCAACACATGGTCGTGTGTCATTGTTTCCCAGTACCAACACTTGGTTGTGTGTTATTGTGCCCCAATACCAACACATGGTTGTGTGTCATTGTTTCTCAGTACCAACACTTGGTTGTGTGTCATTGTGCCCCAATACCAACACATGGTCGTGTGTCATTGTTTCCCAGTACCAACACATGGTCGTGTGTCATTGTTTCCCAGTACCAACACTTGGTTGTGTGTTATTGTGCTCCAATACCAACACATGGTTGTGTGTCATTGTTTCCCAGTACCAACACTTGGTTGTGTGTCATTGTGCCCCAATACCAACACATGGTTGTGTGTCATTGTGCTCCAGTGCCAACACTTGGTTGTGTGTCATTGTGCCCCATGCCAACACATGGCTGTGTGTCATTGTGCTCCAGTGCCAACACTTGGTTGGGTCATTGTGCACCAGTGCCAACACATGGTCGTGTGTCATTGTTCCCCAGTGCCAACACATGGTCATGTGTAATTGTGCTCCAGTGCCAACACTTGGTTGGGTCATTGTGACCCAGTGCCAACACATGGTTGTGTGTCATTGTTCCCCAGTACCAACACATGGTCGTGTGTCATTGTTTCCCAGTACCAACACATGTTTGTGTGTCATTGTTTCCCAGTACCAACACATGGTTGTGTGTCATTGTTTCCCAGTACCAACACATGGTCGTGTGTCATTGTTTCCCAGTACCAACACATGGTTGTGTGTCATTGTTCCCCAGTACCAACACATGGTTGTGTGTCATTGTTTCCCAGTACCAACACATGGTCGTGTGTCATTGTTTCCCAGTACCAACACATGGTTGTGTGTCATTGTTCCCCAGTACCAACACATGGTTGTGTGTCATTGTTTCCCAGTACCAACACACGGTCGTGTGTCATTGTTTCCCAGTACCAAAACATGGTTGTGTGTCATTGTGCCCCAGTACCAACATATGGTTGTGTGTCATTGTGACCCAGTGCCAACACTTGGTTGGGTGTCATTGTTCCCCAGTACCAACACATGGTTGTGTGTCATTGTGTCACAGTGCCAACACATCATTGTGTGTCATTGTGTCACAGTGTCGACACATGGTTGTGTAATTGTGTCCCATAGTCGTGTGATTGTGTGACAATGGAACAGTGTGACAAGCATTGGGTATTTTAAGTCTCCTGTGAACTGTATTCCCCAAAGGGTCACAGAGCATCAATGGTACCTCTTTTGCCCTTAATATGGTAAAACATATGACGTACTGGAGACTTAATACAACACAGGAATCCATTCTGTTTCACAGAAATAATGTACTGGGACTTATTCTGCCCCGTTATCTTCACAGGTTGATAAAAATAGGGTTCTGATGACCAGTTCTGATCTGAATACAGATCACAAAGTAAAAAAACCTTTGGACTAAGTGACACCTTGATTCTGTACACACTTTTCAATGGAAATAGTGATGACCCAAACTTACACACTGACCAGACAATCCAAGGGAGATAACCTTAGCAAGAACGTTATCCAACCTGACAAACATCCAACGTCCTGCATCATCAGTGACTCATGTATAAGCAGAGCTATTGCACAGATAGTATTTCTCTACATCATTGGCAAAGTGCTTTCCAGACACCTGACAACATACTTGTTTCCGTGTCCTTCATCCTGAGGAATGCATTGTCTTACATGATATCAGAAGCTGATCGCACTGCTGTTTCCCTCCATGTGATGTAAGACACTGGTAAGTAAGTATGAGTGCATGAAGTATGCAGCATGTCAACTCACTCACCTGTGCAGACAATCTTCTTTGGGCGGCGTTTAAAGAAAGGGTGAGTGGATCCGTCCTCGAATTCATGCGCAGTGTGGTAGCTGCTCATGTCAGTGTCCAGGGAACTCAAGGAGACATAGTCTAGAAGGAAACAAAGGAAATATGCAAATATGCTTATGGGGAACACAAATTACAAAACATTAACCTCAAATACTAACATAATGGTTTTTTACTTCAAATTAGTTTTTTTTACAGATATACACATATATATATCCAAATTTGTAAAGACATGAGAATTCACGGAAGAAAATATTGTCAAATAATGTACTGTATTTTCTTGTGTATAATGCAAAATGTCCAAGTTAAATGATCAGTATAGTAAAAAATAATGTACTGTAAAAAGGTACACTGGTACTATTCTTTGTGCAGGGCAGCGAAATGAAAGAAATGCTAATCTCAGAATCTGATCTCTAAATATGTTTTGTCAGCCTTTCTTCAAACAATTCAAAGACTCTTATTTAATATATTACGTTTCAACTATACCTTGTGTTCTGTCGGATTCAGAGCCACTGTCTCCACCTCTGTCAACTTCGTCACCAATGTCGCCATTCTCCACGCCGGATCTCTTGGCAGGAGATGCCGCGTTTGAACGTCGTTCTGGCATGATATCTGTTTCTTCAACACCTAGGGGTGGTAAATGGGTGGTGAAAATAACTACTTTCTTTGTAATCCCTGAAATTGTATCTTTGTGCAACCTTTTTTTATATGACATAGAATTATTATTCTATATGCCAGAAAATCTTCTGATGCATTTTGAAAATGAAATATTTTTAATATTTGGCAAATGGACAGAAGAATGTTGTTCTTGGTAGCCATGAGATACACAAACACAACAGGATTGTCGTATGGGTTCAAACCTAATTCTACAAGTTTCAATATGTATTGCTAAAGTCATTTCCTAGTCATTCATATCAAGTGAAAGTCTTCAGTGTGTCTCAGAAAATAATATTGATGTTTTAACCTAACATTTATCTTGCTTCTAATATTCCCATCCTACACATAAGTCACAATAAACTACTGCAGTATAGGTCCCCAAGTCAAAGGCATCATGAGATGAAAGAGAATCCAACAAAACAATTGATTTACTTTTGTGAGACTGTAGACAGATTTCATGAACAACCACAAATTCTGTATCATTCACAGACCACCATTAGTCTTTCTTTTCTCATATCAGATTGGTCTCTTTTATAACAACTACCAAAAATAAGTAATTGTTCAGTTTCTGTTTGTTTAAGTGAAATAGGGAACATAAGAAATTTCAATGAACATATTTCAACTTTAACCACAATCATTTTATAATGGTAAAGAACTTGATTAAACTCACTAATACCCCATTATTGTGATAATTTGGGAATGTTAGACTAACATCTAGTCTCTGAAATCAACATATTTTAAATTATATTCATAAAATATAATGTAAAGGAGCCATGGAATTTTCTTCATTTGCAGCCTAAAACTGTGGTAATCTAGACCTGATTAGGTTGTATTGGGCATATTTGTTTCAGGGTCTATATGATGTTTGCCTCTGACCTTTAACTCAACATTCAGTATATCTACTTGTTAGTTTTATTGTTTCCATAATGTCAGCACAGCCCTACACCAGTACAACAAGGAAATGTTCTTACTCACACACAGATATGTTGTAGTGTTAACGGAGTGCCTCTCCATCAACCCACATGTGCTTGCTGACTTGCTGCAGTACTGTTCCAGAAGTTGGACGGTACCGACTACCAAACTCTCATTTACACTTTGCACAAGGTATGAACTGAGAGTTCAACACAAACTTAATACTTTCTTATTATTTTATCATAATCTTGATGTCCTGATCTTTATACATTTGAAAATGCCAAAACAAACTGACAGTTTTTAAGCAAGATAAATATCTTTTGACTTGATAGTGAGAGATCTAGCTTAAGTTAAAGCACAGTTAAGTTGATAGGAACATAGGAACATTTGCAAAAGATATTGCGTATGTTAAAAGTGAAAGTTCTATTTACACACACTCTTATCTAGCAGGTGCATGAACCCCTGGAACCATTTTGCATTGGTAGTAAATAAGAGTGAGTGAGTGAGTTTAGTTTTACACCGCACTCAGCAATATTCCAGCTATATGGCAGCAGTCTGTAAATAATCGTGTCTGGACCAGAAATCCAGTCATCAACAGCATGAGCATTGATCTGCACAATTGGGAACCGATGATATGTGTCAACCCAGTCAGCGAGTCTGATCACCCGATCCCGTTAGTCGCCTCTTACGACAAGCATGGGTTACTCAAGATCAATTCTAACCCTGACCTTCAGTATATAAGGTAGTATATAAGAATATGAGAAAGACTTCATATCATTTACTAACATAAATACAACCCATTGATGCTAGACATGTTTCTATGTTTCATAGAGGAATGATATTATTAGAATATATTGTCTTTGAGGAACAGAACAGATTAACACAATCTTACATGATGAGAATCTTTTCTGTCAAAGTCTATTTATTTTCTATTACAGCATACATTAATAAACACCATTAATAAATTTGGCCAAAATGTCTTATTATTAATCATACCAAGCATCTCAATAAAAACAGCCTACTTAGAGAAATATTCCAGAAAGGCATCCAGGAAATAGCTTCTGTTCTTAACAAGAAAACAATACTGTCTGTTTTGTTTCAAGAACAATCTGATAAACTGTTGGACTACTGTCAAACATGTTTTTCATGTGAAAGACGAAAAAGAAACCTCACCTAACAGAAACATGACAAAAACAAAAGTATGCTGCTGTCAAGAAATGCTGACAAGTGTTAATGGCCAACTTGAAGAACTGCCTGTATGCAAGAGAAATGTGTCATAGAATAATAGTGCCAGATATATATGTACTCTCATGACTTCCATGTCACTGTACTAATTACCCAGCTTAATCCAACTCATTAACACATATCATCAAGGATGAGGGGATGCAGATGGTAATATGCTTCAGAAGGTGTTATCTGGATTAGATCAGTGACACTAAAGAGATTTTCAGGGAATACTGATATTTTAAAAATACAAGAATTATTTTTATTTCTTTGATATGAATAATATACAATTAAACAGGAGATGGTAGCATTTTCTCTGTTATGTTAAAATTGAAAATTAAGCATGCAAAAATGTGTGGAATTACTTCAAAAGTCCTGTTGTTTGTTTAAAGATATTTTGCCTTGTCATGTTATCAGTATTTAAGTTTATTATTTTCCTGCAACTAATTTCTCTGAAATGTCAAGTTCCCCTTTAAATGACAGATTGTTCCAACAACCCTAGAGCAAACATTCTCTTTCTGTCCAACTTTACACAGCACAAACAACATCATTATAATGTTGGAAGAAAGGTATATCCAATCCAGCCTACCCTTTCAGACAAATATAGATTACTCCAGTTTAGGAAAATTAAGACAGTCTCCTGGCACCTTTTTAATATATTTTAAGATAATTTAAGAACTGTTTATTTTTGTTGTTTTTTTCTGCAAAATATGTCCATTTCAGAGACTAGATGAAGGATGGCAACACATTACCTCCAAACTACCGAAAAACAGGTGCAACATCAAACTTTAAAAATCATATATAATAACACACATAAAATCAACCAAACACTGAAAAACATTTCCCAAACAGGTGCATCAACCCAACTTTGAAATCAAATTAAAGTAATTAATTAGCATGTAAGCAGAGTTGTTTATTACATAACAGGACATGTGTTCTCCATCCTCATCTCCAACAAATGAATCGGCTCAGCAGGAAGTCCGACATGCAGGGGAGTCTGCAGTAATTATATTGCAATATATTTAACACAGACATCTGATCCATGTCTCCGGTGCAAGTACTTACAGACTAGGAAGCTGTAGGGCATTTGGGGTTTATACCTGATTTACAAATTTTGGTTCTGAACAAATTTTAAAGTGAGAAATTAGAAACACTTCTATGTATCATCTTCAAATAACAGTTGTTATTATCTTTTCCTAATGTCACCTGTCTGGCCATAGTATTTAAAAATACCTTTGAATAAAAATATAGATCAAAATGTATTTTTACTTTTAAACAATATGTTATGTTTTCATAATATGTACAATAAAAAATAAGAAATATGAATTTTACTGATTATTTTTGCAGATGACAATAGGTGCTACTTGTTCAGGCATGCCAGGTCTGAGTGACTTCCTTCTTCAAATAAACATTAACATCTCTGGCATCTGTATAAACCTAGAGAAATGTTCAAGGATAGGTTATCTCTGTGTGGGTCTTGGTAAAGTAGCTCTGCATTGTTAAACCCCAGCTAAGACTCAGAGTGAAGGAACATGTATGTGTGTCAGGAAGGTGCCAAATTCGAAAATAGTTTCCAAAAGGGAAATGAACTCTTTCAAAGATATGAAATACATCTCAAAAATATTTCAAAGAAAAAGGACAATTATAAGCTGCTCATCATGCTCTAAATAATATAGGGTTTTTTCAAACATGTATTGTCACTGTAGGAACTGCTTACACTCTAAATAAAGGCTCTGTGTCCCTCATGCATCATGGTGGGAAATTATAATAATCCAGGATAAAACTGGTAAGCAAAATGGTTTTATAACATAACTTATCATACAGATATATTTTCAAATAGCAAATCTAAATGTTCTGTAAAAGGACATCAATATATTGTGAGTACAGGCACACATCTATAGTTCATCTAACAACTACAAGATTACTGTTGCTTTTACCGCTGCAAATACTTAACCAAAGTAGGTTATATTGAACAGTACAAAAGGAACAGTTTTAGAGTGACATCTATTTTCTCTCAAATACACTATGAAGCATATCAACTGAATGTCTTTAAGTCTTTCCTGTCATCAAATAATGATAGCAATAGTTTCACTAGATCTGGATTAAACTTTTATAGTTTACTGCCATGATATTGCTGGAATATTCCTAAAAGCGTAGTAAAACCAAACTCACTCACTTTTATAGTTTAAATAAGTTTAACACTGGCACATCAGACAAGGCTTTTATATTTTACTATTTTTCATGCATAAAACATACTTGGCATATAATCATTTTGATAAAGTAGAGACTACAGGATCTCTAGATACCATAGCAACAAAGCCAACAAAGGGCAACAATACTCCAACTGACCTAGTTATCTTGATGACAATTAGTACTGTACATACCAGTCAAGAGTATAGTCCATAATAAGCAAATCTTCAAGCATCCAAGAAAAAACATACCCATATTTCAATACTTTCATGTTTGAGTGGTGTTGCCCTTTAATGCCACTGTCATATGCTGATATATCACATGTACTGTACAGTAATGACAATTCTATCATAATCTTTTACTTACCTAATCTTTTCAAAGCTCCTCTAATTTCCCTGATCCAGGCTTGCTTAGAATATATATTCTTGGCTTGGAATGTTAGTTTCTCAGAGGTGGGCTCTGCATACCAAAGTTCAAATCGTCGGTCATCTTCAATCACATTTTCATTGATTTGAATGTTTTGAAGCTGGAATTAAAAATAAGTTGGTCCAATTAAAAAGGAATTATATGCATGCATTACTTTACATATCATCAAACCGTACAATTTTCTTTTATCATCAC